CTGCTCATAAAAAGACAGCCATTCACTGACGCTATGATACGGCTGAAGCCCTGGACCTTATAGAGATTTTTAAGTTTTCAAACCATCTGTCGCCCCTTGCATTTAGCTTCAATCCGCTTTGTGCAACATTTTTTCATTATGCTGACATTTTTTATTTAGCACTGTTAAGTAAGTTAGCATCTTAACTTTTGCTTTTCATTCAATTTCCTACTTCCGAGTTCGCGAATGTCGTGATCGAATACAAACAATACACTTAAATCGTGTCAAACAATACAATTAAATCCAAGACCAGATTTATGGGGCATCATAAACGGAGAACCAGCTCGAAATATATTTCATGATGTGCGTACGAGGTGGCTCCAATGAACAAAATGATACAGTTGCATCTATTAGTGTAAGTGCTCAAGTGCCATGGAGCCGCAGCTTATTTAAATGGTCCACTTTGGCAATTAGGAGCAAACAGAGGTGCTGTACGCCGTGAAATCGGCTCCTGGACAAGTTATGCAGTTTCTGTGTTATTTATTTAAATGTAAATGTGCGTATTCTACAGCCTGTCGCAACTGCTTCCGCTCAGCTACAGATTCAAGTCGACCAAGCGACGGATAACTGCAGCTGGTTTACCAGCGTGAAACAAGAGAACGCTGCAGACTTTGCTTCGGATCAGAAAACGGTTGCGCACTCATGAATCCGTCTTACATCACTCATCTATAAATGAAAATATGTATTCATTGCATTACAAGCTAGTATGTACGCCTTGAAATTGTCCCTGCAAAACAGTCATTTATTTCAATAAGCAGTTTCAAAACATAATTCAATTCTCTGTATTGACTAGTTAGACAACGTATAAATACATTAATTCAATTATTCGCATAAACTTGTTTCTAATAGGCTTTGCCAACTCTTAAACTGAATCTCTCTTCTACGGAGCATGACTGGTTCCAAAAGAAAGAAATTTATCTTCGCGTCTTCGATTAAGTCGAATATTCAAATATGAAACTAGTTGGTCACTTAGACTTTCAGCGAGCTTCTCCAAACCAATGGTTTTGAATACAAGATCGTTCGTTACTCGATGAAAACTTCGCCCTCGACAACGGCATCAAGCGCAAACTGTCGCTGCATAAGAGACAGAAGGCGTAGAGCGCTCCATTTAGCACTGGTTAATTATGCTAAATTTTGATTGCTGTTAGCACTTATTTTCTGTTGAAAATCAAGAACAATTAAGTAGTAAATCGTAATAAATAATATTTAAAAATTAAAGATTAAACGATTACAAGATAAACTTCCAGTACAATACGCGTCAACCATTACAAAAAAGGCGTCTGATTCAGAGACAGGCATCAGACATTATTAGGAGTCTAAAATGTGGAGATGTAGTTTAATCAGAATGTTCAGGGACAAAATACATAAAACGAATTTATGAAATCCAGAAGCCGTGAACAGGTTATCAATAAATATCCACATTCACACAGCATTGCTGTAACTCAACGGGATAAACAATCATTTCCGATGAACATGCAGTAATACAATTCAAAACGATAGCAAATAGACTCTTGTCGGTTGACGTTAAACATGTAAGTTATGACTGTGCCTGAACAGCTGGTGGCGGAGAGGAAACAGCAGTGACAGAGGGCTGGACAATAACATCGGCACCCACATTCGGAAAGTAACCGCTACCATTAACTAGAAAAAAATTACAGTAAGCAAACCCACTTTTACAAAGGTTACTTCAACAATTAACTGAGCAAGTTTTCAGTTTACTCAAAGAAACAAAACAACCCATAACAGCATTCATATCCAAATCATAAAAAATACTAAACGAGCTGCTAATCCTTTATAATTGGATTTAAGTCTTTAAAACAAGACCTCGACAAATATTCAGTACTAGGTGGTAATAGTTTTCAGCCATAATTCTCATTAAAGTGGCTTTTAAAATATGTGAGATATTTCTAATTAACAATATAAGATCAAAAAATCATTAACAGGGACTGAAACAATAGCTAATGCGGTACACTTCTGACATCAATCGGGGGAAGTTGAGAAGAAATCAAGCAAAAAAGTCATGTATAAAATGACAGTTTAGTTTCATGTAGTTCATAAAGCAGAGAGAATAATCTACAAGGCAATGATTAATAGGTTGGCCTATTCCAAAACTTCTTCCATAGTCACCATTAATTTTTGAAATGATCAATATAATCCATCGATTTGTATTTCTCTTAGTCGTGTGCTACTTATTTCTCCACCTTCTGCCCAAAAATATTTACAGTAATCACTAAATATCTCTTCCAACATCGAAGATAAGTGAAACCATAATATACGATAGAACCGCTGGATTCGAAAACGTAGCTTTGGTGGCAGAACGAAAATCGAAGAGTTTTCGGTAACCTGACCAGCATCATGTGCACCTGTCGATTATGCAAGTGCTGTAAACTCTATTAATCTCACTGGCTTAATTACTACATGTAGCGGCACCTTCGTAGAAAGCAAAATGTACTTGAGTTCTTCTACTCTTGCCTTTTAAGCAAACAGTGTACATATTCAGTAACATAACAATGGCACAAGTCGAAACAAATTACTGGGAGAAGTTCGCTGAGGTGTTTCGTCCAATCTTCGGACGACAAACAAGCTGTTCTGGCAGACCATTCGCCGGCTCTGAGGTGAAAAGAAGGGCAGTCTAAGAGTCTTGAAGGACAGGTTTCGATACCCGGTTACCGAGGATAAGGACATTCTTTGGCGAAGGAGAGAGTACTTAACGGACCTCCTTAACTTTGAGCAACCGTACGAAGACTCGCTTGTAGAGCAGCAGGGATATTAAAATTTCTGTAGATGAAACTATACAAGCTGTGAAACGTGTAAAAAGCGGAAAGGTTGTTGGAACTGATGAAATCCGACTTGAGTTGCTCAAAGCAACAGGCCGAAACGGCAAGTGCTGGCTTATACGTGTCTGTAAAACTGCAATAACTACGGTTACGACACAAACGGACTGGAGAACGGGAGTTGTAGTAACTCCGTTCAAGAAGAGGGACCACAGGGAGTGCTCCAATTATATGGGCAAAGGCTCTGGAAAGGGGGTGCTGCGGAACAACTACTACAAGATAGAAGTGTGGCTTCAGGACGGATGAAGCACGTCTGACCTGATATTCGCCCTATGCTAGATGCTGAGAAACCATGGGAACTCGCATATACGGTGTACTTGTACTTTGCTGATCTAAAGAAAGAATATGTCCGATACCGCGCAACAATCCATGAGAGTGCCTGACACACATGGAATCGACGGTCACTTCCTACCGGCCGCCACCCAATCATCATACGTCGATAGCAGGTTCTGGATCCGAGAAAGTGGTGTTAAGTCGAAGCCTTCCAGCGCTGGCACTGGTCTCCGCCAAGGCGATGAGCGTATCGGTATAGGAGGTGTTAAGTCGAGAAGGTTGCTGTTTGCAGACGACCTTGTTTTATTAGCATCTTCTGAAACCGATCTCCAG